CTGTCCTCGTCTGCATTCGGGGCACGTCGGCAATTGTAGGCAAATTGGCCGAACTAGCCACATCTAAAACATGTATGAGGCGCATGTATTTCCTGCGACTCCGTCCGCGTGGAATTATAAAAAGAACAATACTAGCCTATTGCGTGAAAGGTGACAGTTCAAGAAGGAAGCGATGACTGAGATGATGTATGATAGAGTTATGTGGAGGACAAAAACCTGTTGCGCCGACCTTACTGGAGTATGATAAGAAGGATGATGCTGATGAATAGTGAGTAGCCTATATGTTCTTCCGGACTATCTCCTACATGTATACCTAATCTCATCGAAATCTGTTAAGTCGTGTAGGCTACAAACTCTAACAAACATCCATCCATCTAAACTTTCGCATTTATAAGATTAGTATGATTTGGCATTAGTAAGGTTTATTAACCCTTTTCTTGTTAGTGTATCTATAGAGATACATCAATTTTTTTTTCTAAACACCTTGGGTCATCAAAGTTAAGTGCTATTATTTTGATATTCGAAAAAATAAAATTCTGCCAAGTTAAGGGTCAACAGTGTGAAAGTGTTGGTAATTTCGAAAAGCGATTTAAAAACTAATAGATGATAGGACATTTTTTTTTATTATTATTATCTTCTTTATCTCCTGCTGTTGTAGCTCTTGCAGCAACCTTGTTGTCTTTGTAGTTACATTCTTTTTTACTTCTTTACCTTGTTTTTTGTTTTTTTTTTTTTTATAGATAGGACATTGTATGCTTTTGAAATTTATACTATTATAATATAGCGTAAACAAACACTTCTTTGTTGCCTAAGATGTCAGCAATTACAGCATATTTTGAAATTGAAAAATTCTTTCTTTAATAAAAAGCCCTACACTTATCTCACGCTTTGGGCTATTTATATTCACGCCATTAAACTTAGGGGTAAATATTTTGGATAAAAACCTTGATGTGTGAAAGAGACTATAAGTTGCTGCCAACATCAAGGAAGCAAGATTGCCATAGTAAGGTCATTGGTATTTTGACATTTGCAATTGATAATTTGACAATTGTGAACATTAAAATAAAATCTTCATAGTTTTATGCGGATGAAGCCGCACGGGAGCTAGTAAATGATATTTTTGAATGTTTAAATTCCAGATCCGTATGATAGCTGCGTCTCGGCTGGAGGCGTGGCTGCACTCGGGCAAGCTGTGGCGCGCGGCGCAGGAGCTGCTCGCGTACGTGTGCGCGAACGCGGCGGCGGCGGGGCCGAGCGCGGCGCGCGACCACGAGGTGCTGGCGCAGCTCGCCCGCATGCGGCTTAAAACTAAACCGCTGCAGGCCGCTTACCAAGCATGTTTAAGGTCAGATGCTTTAGGATCTAAACTAAGATATAGTTTGTTAGTAAATTATGATAAAAATACAAATATTTATTGATAAAAGTGTTGATAAATTGTATACATAAAGCAATCATTATGGCTTTCTGGATTAGTCAGGACTTAAGTTTATTTTTGAATGACGTGTATTGTGTATTGTGTCGCAGCAGATTCGACTGTTTAGTTGCACAACTAAAAATCGAGTAGTGTGCGCACCTCCATATAAGCTCATAGAAATCAAAGCGACTAAACAGTTGTGCGATAGTTTAGTTTCAGGTGCTCTAAGTGATCCGTTACATAGACTGGGCTTAGCTTTGAACGGAGCGGACTTTTATAGCGATTATAATTAAGCTTTATGTAATTGAAATAAGGTTTATTTTCACATTGTCCTGTCTTACAAGCAAGCAAGCATTAATTTTACTTTTAAGTCTGTGGGAACGGACCCTTAGAAGTCAATACTCAGATAACTTCGTCATAAATCTCATTTCATATCTTCTGTTTCATTCATGTAATAAAATGGGCTTAAACGTATATCGTATCATTAGGTAGTTTTATCCCGAAACTTGACATAAAACTGTCACTTCTACACTTATCGTCGTTTAATGATAGATTTAGTAACACGTACTACATGCTTCTATGTTTTTTAATGTAAAGTATTTATTTATTTCCTGTATACAGGGAGATGGTGTCGGACAGTCCCGCGTTGCTGCGCAGCGTGGTGACCCACACGATATACAACGAGCTGTCGAACGCGCGCTCGCCCAACAACATGGCCGTGCTCGCCGCGCTCGTGCACGCGCAGCCGCAGCTCGTGCCCGCCGCCATCGCCGAGACATATCAGGTCAGATACAACATTTAAATACTAGCTTTCGCCCGCGACTCCGTCCGCGTGTAATTAACAAAAAAACAAAGTGTGTAGCCATGTGTTCTTCCCAGAATATGATTTACGTCTAAGCCAAATTTCATCGAAATCCGTTAAGTCGTTAAGTGTAAAAACTCATAACAAACATCCATCCATCCATCTAAACTTTCGCATATATAATATTAAAGTAAGATGTAATTATCGTTTACGTCTCTTAGAGGGGGGGGGGATATTGGGGACTAAGACCCTGTCCCACCACTGGCTGATAGAGGCGCAAAAAGCTTTAAAATGACGTCACGCAGATAAGGGAACGAAATCTGTTATTTCGTGATGTATGTTTTTGTCAAGTACAGGAGCTGCTGTTCCGTTCTGAGGACTACCTGCGTCCGATGCGGTCGATGTTGCGCGAATGCGTGCGCGCCGCGCGCTCCGAGACGCAGGCGCTGCTGCCGCTCGCCGCCGCGCTCGCAGCGCCCCCGCACCACGAGCCGCCGCAGGAGGTACATGTCACAGTGGCAGAGCACGCTTCTACATCTTCCCACGAATGGGCCGGCTAGCACGGTGTAATACCACACAAGACAAACGTCAAATGGAAGCAATTCCGCGTACAGTCAGATGAGTGTGGTGCCGGAAGCCTCATTTGAGTCCCTTTCCCTTTCCCTTTCCCTTTCCCTTTCCCTTTCCCTTTCCCTTTCCCTTTCCCTTTCCCTTTCTCTTTCCCTTTCCCTTTCCCTTTCCCTTTCCCTTTCCCTTTCCATCCTTTTTTAAAGAGGAAAGCATGGGAAGGTAAAGTGGGTGAGACGCATAGGAAGAGGAAATATCCCCGTTACGCACGTCTCCTTCTCCGTCAATTAAGTGTAGGCAACGCATCTGCAATTGCGGATGTTTACGGACAGCGCTCACTTTCCATATCAGTGGATGCAGGTGGCCGCTTGCTCGATTGCCACCTTATGTTATGAAAAAAAATACAGAGTCATACATTTGGAGGTTATGTGTACCTGACTGACGGGCAGCTTGGAGTTGCTGGCGCATGTTATAAAAAATATATAAGTTGTTTTGTACTCATATATTATATTATTTGCAATAATTTGACCTTCGCATCGTTATAAATTAATTTATGTTCCACGAAGTGATTCATACGAAATTAAGCGTGGCTAAGATATACTACTATACTAGATATAAAAATTAAAAAATGTAAAATCTTATGTTTACAGATTCGTGAACGCGCATTCCAGTCGCTAGCGGACTTGTTCGCGTGCTGCTGCGTAGTAACTGCCGCGCACAGCAAGCACGCGCCGGAGTACCGCGCGCAGCTGTGCGCGCTGCAGCAGCACGCGCTCGCCTGGCTGCTCGATACTGCTGTGCCGGTGTATCGCCCTGCGCGGCATGACTACCAGCATGCACTCAACAAGGTAAGCACGTACGATACGCACGCATGTACGATACGCACGCACGTACGATACGCACGCACGTACAAACACGTATGCACATACGTGCGTACGCACTCGTGTGCGTGCACTCATGTGCACGAGTACGTAAAAGTCGTAGAGCTAACATAGCAAAGGAGTATCGTGAAACTAAACCGTGACAAGAAGAATATAGTGTTCAATTTCATTCAAATTCAATTCAATCCAATCCGGTAATAATAACGAAGTAACGGCTCGTGCCGAGGCTCCTGAGGGGGCCCTTGAGCCTAGTTACTCATAAACGAGGTTTAGGCTAAGCGCCATGCGCTCGGCCACCTCAAGCCCGGTGAATCTGTAAATGCCTCTTCAAGGTAAACAGTGGCTATTCAGTCACAAAAAAAATCCATCATCACCTTTTTCCACCATTTCCTGCTTCTGTGGGGTCGACGCAACAGGTTTTTGTCCTACTCATAACTATTACCCGTCGTCTCAGTCATCACTTCTTGATCATGTCACCTTCCACACAAATAAATCATCTTTTACTATGTCTACCTCTACCGGTGTACCTCAATCGATTTGTATGACTATTGTAATGTGTATGTTGTGGTATAGATAATGTTCGTGGAGGCGGCGGAGGCGTACAGCAAGGCGGACAACTGGCCGCCGGAGTCGGAGCGCGCGCTCTGCTACCGGCTGTGCTGCGAGGCGCCGCTGCCGCAGAACACGCTCCTCAGGCTCATATTCATTGGACTTTCTAAGGTATAATAAAGCATTTAATTTCATACCGAATGTTAAAAACAAGCTGTTCCCGTACGGCTTGATCCAAATGAAATTATAAAAACTTTTAATAATACCGAATCGCTGTAAGCGTAGGTTTTTAGTAATTAATGTAAGTAAAAATTTTTCCTGCTGTTTTCGGCGCCCACGGTACTGGCATTTCTTAGTTTTTTTTTATAACACAAGGTGGCAAACGAGCAAGCGGCCACCTGAAACCGCCAAAATGGCGAAGCGACCGCTGCCCATAGACATCCGCTATTGCAGATGCGTTGCCTACCCTTATACGACGGAGGAGGAGACGCACATAAAGAGAATATTTCCCCTTTCTATGCATCTCCTCCACCGTCAAATCCACCTCCTCTTCCCAACCTCTCCTTAAAAGAAAAGGGTGGTAAAGAGAAAGGGACTTAAATTAGGCCTCCGGCACCACACTCATCAGACGAAACACGGAATTGCTTCCATTTCACGCCTGTCTTCTGTGTGGTCGTGGTATTACACCGGGCGTGCCGGCCCTGCAGTGCTAAGATGTTAAAGCGGGCACTACCACTGTAAAAAGTGTTGGCATCGCCAGATTAAACGTATATTAACCACAAATTGTAATTATCTTTTAGTTGGTATAACTGTTATTGTAATTGTTAATCTCTTGTTTTTCAGTAAAATTATTTCTATTTCTATTATTATTTTTTACATTTCACAACGAAGGCCTTTGACATTAGATAAAAGTTACCGTTACCATATCAACCTTGCTTCCTTGATGTTAACTTGTTGGTCTTTTGCCACATGTAGGTTTTTTTTTATATTTAATAGCATGAAAAAATATAGCCGGAAGCGTGTAGAAGACTCTTAAAGAATGAATTATTCAGAAGTATGCTGTGAATATCAGCATACTCTACGCCACGAAGTAGTGTGTGTTTACGCTTTTTTTTATTAATACAGAGTATAGATAGAAGAATAGATTAAAAATTGAAATAAGGTTAATGCTTCCAGGATATGCCGGTGTCTCCAGCGGAGGTGTTCGAGCTGGTGGAGCAGCTGGTGCGGCGAGCGTGCGCGCTGCCCGCTGACGACCTTCCGCTGCAAGTCGACAAGCTGGAGATAGTCGACTACATCTTCCAGCTGTGCCAGTTCAATCCACCTGATAATATCACATTACCACCAGGGTAAATATACTAATAGTATTAAAAATGTTCAGTTTTATTAAGTTTTTACATTATATATTTGTGGTAGGGTACATGTAAAAACTATGCTGCAAAGTTCTTCAACAAGAGGACATAGACAACAAGTTATCTGACCCGATGGATAAAAGCTCTTCTATTTATGCCATTTCCTGACTAAACATCTTTTACTATAGTTCTAATTTAAATGTCATATTGTCCGTATGTAAAAAAAAATTCTTGGTCCTTCGAGCAGGATATCGACTTACAATAATTGATAAGCTCATATCCGTATTAAAAAATGTATAACGAAGTATTAGTACAATTAATTTATGTTAGTTTTTATTGCTTTATACGGATTTTATTTTATTTTTTGTTGTTACAGTTACAGTCCGCCAGCGCTGGTGATAACATCCCTGTACTGGCGAGGCTGGATGCTGCTGACGATGCTCGCGGCGCACAACCCTCAGGGCTTCGCTGAGAGGGCCGCCGCCACCTACCCTACCCTGCGAGCTCTTATCGAAATGTGCATCACAGGGTGAGGACGTAAATGCCATAAAGCTATTTTACTATTGTATACGCGAAAGTTTACATGGATGGCTGTTTGTTAGAGTTAGTATCCGAAACTGCTGAACGGATCTTGATAAAAAAAAATAATTTCATGTGGACGGAGTCAAGGGTGTAAGCTAGTTTGTTTATCATACTTCATAACGTACTATTATGTCCTTCCGCCGTTATTCGAGGCCTTGTAAACAATATTGAGAGATGACAGTCTGTCTTCCGGCCGCCATTTTAGTCGTTGCAGT